CCAAGAACGTTCTGCGGCCCATCACACTTGCGGCCGTCTCCCCACTCCACTCGATCCAACTGTCTTACCTACGGTATCACTTGGTACCTCCACGTATTTATTTGAAAACCTCTAAAAACCAGTGCCTCCCTACGCACATGCTTTTGCATAGGCATTAGGAATTAGGTGAGCCCATTGGGCAATATTAGTATTGGGATAAAACCTAATATAGTCCTATTTGACACTGAACTAATGCGACACCCTGTAGCTCAAGTCGATTCGTGACCTGAAAGTCCCGAGTTCAAGTCCACCATTTCGCAACATTTTTCATATTTATATTTTTACTTGGAAGTACACAAATGTCAGGCATTCCAAAATTCTTCCGAGGCATTAACGATGAGCAACTTGCTCATGGAGTCATTAAGTTAACCCAAGCAAATCTTTATTTATCTATGTCACTTAAGTTGAGCTGAAGAGCTCAGTGTGAATCAAACATACCTTCTTTGGCAAAGTTGCCAAACAGCTTCAATGTGGATGGCATGCAGCCGTCACCGAGATGAGGATGCAAGTAGTAACCAATAACAATTGCACGACGCGACCATGTAATTCGGACGAGTTCGCCTGAAGCTTGACTCCAGGCAAACGAACTTCCGTTGCCTCAATCGTAGCGACGAGCTCTTCCAGAACACCAGAAACGACTGTCCCGACTTCGAGCGCGTCCAAGTGTTCCAAATGTTTGATTCTCGATGCTTCAGCTCGCTTGGCATCTTCCCGCCCTCGCAGGATCTTGGACACAAAATATTCTGGTGCTTGGAGGGATCCAATGTAGCGCATCATAATGTCTGTTTTGACTTGAACATCGGCGGGGACCTTCTTCACGCCCTTTTGCTGCGTGGTCTTCGTGCGCTTGACTGAAGTTGGCTTCTTGTTCCACATTGGAAGGGATGACAGCGTCAGCTGCGTAAACGCACGCTTTGGTGCAGGCTTCGTGCTCGCCTTGGTAGTTTCTGCACTCCTTATGGCAGGCGCGGTGCTTGCCGTGGATGACATCGCGCCAGCGATACCCGTGAGCATGTCGTCGACTGGATTCCATGCTTCAAGGCGGTTCTTGGACTTGGTGGTCGTGGCACTTGGCGTGGCTGTTGGTGGATTCAATGCATCAAGGCGGTCCTCGGACTTGGCGGTCTTGTCGGACTGGACGAACTTGGGTACAAGCGCGCAAAAATGATTCAATGACACCCATAGCTGGTTGTTGCAGGGTCTTCCGTACTGATGAAAGTGAACGAAGAGTTCCGTCGAGGCGTGCGAAGCCCACGGACGGTTCATGGAGGACAATGCCGTTGCAGTAGAGAAATCGGAAACAGCTTTGTTCACGCTGTTTGGACAGGCAAAGGAAGTAATGTTGATGCCAAAGAGGATAGCCACGAGGCACATTTCGCAGTCGCCAACCCAGGAGCCAACGCGACCAAGACGGGCACGGTATTTGTCAACGTCAAAGTTGGGCCCGTAGAACATCGTCAAAACGTCACGCACCACCGGAATCCATAGAGGTGACATCGTCATCTCCACAACTCGACGTCTCAAGTCCACATGGCTTGGAGTCGGGAGAACACCAGGGACGAGGAGACTGTGAAACAGGCAGTTGCCATCACCAGGAACGTCGACAACTTCGTAGTCTTCGCCTCCAAAACGAACAACGCTACCGTTGGCAACATTCGTGAGGGTAGTGGCATGCGTGTTGAATGGCATCTTGCGTCTCTGATCCAGGAAGGCTGTAGTGAGCTGGCTTGAGTAGAGTTTGAAATTTCAAAATCTGAATGCCAGACCAAACCTATTTTTATATTATGCATTGCATTGGTGTAAAAACTATTTCTCACTTACCGGAATCGAACCAGTGACCTCTTGAGCTTAAGACCGGAATCATACTTCCAGGCCATTCTGTGCAAATCCTAGTGTGCATTTAGAGTTCATTCGACCCTCGTATATACTCGCACCTAACGGTCACTACGGTAGGGGCCAATTAACTTACAGCAAAACGACATGCACAAGCGACCCAAGACAGGCACGGCGCGTCAAGGTGCTGCATCACGTCAACATCCACGCACGACAGGCAAGGCACGACATGCAAGGCCAGTGACGAATGATTGAGGGCAGCAGCGATGCAAGACTGGCCAGATACGGTAGTGAGGACGTCCAAAGGATGCAGGTACGGTTGCCGAAAATGTCCTCAATGAGTGGTTAAAAATTGTATATTGTCCAGTTTCGTACCATTTTACTCACGAGACTTGTAAATGACTTGTACCCCCGGGGCAAGTAAATTACCTTTGGCACCACACCGCAGGATTTCGCCACAAAAATGTGGGGGGCTAGTTTCCTTCATACTAGTTAAGTGCCCTGGTTAACTAGCAGTCGCTTTTTTATTTGCACAGTGTTGGTTAGACACATAGCTCAACACGACAAATTGAAAGAAACAATAATATATATAAAATTTTAGCCCTTCAGCGACTCTAGCCGGGGCCTCCCCACGGTTGTCTGTCGCTGTGGCCTTGATGGATGTCAGGTC